GCATGTAATCACGATTTCTCGCGTTTGCGTGATTATACATCTACATAATCTGTTGTTAATTGGTAATTTAACAAGAAATTCGCGAGATAGCATTACGACGTGATTCGCAACTTTTATTCATTTAAATGTCAGAATTCGCATAAAAAACAAACAAGTAATATCGCCTAAAGTAAAATATCTGCACTTTTTTTATCTGATTAGCAGCTTAAAATTCAATCAATCAACTCGGACCGTATCATATGCTGTGTTACTAACAAGTACAGCTACGAAACGGAAATGAAGAGTGCGTCAGCTCTGCACCATGAAAATGAAACGTATGTACTACACGTTCATAGTATAGAGAACACAGCAAAGATTTACATGCTCTCGGCATTCATGTCGAGGATATATACAATACTGCAATTACTGCAGCCAAGCAACTCGGCACTGGCTGTGCCACGCGCCAGTACAGCAACCCTCCAGCAAAACTCGACGATTAGTGAAAATAGGAGATGTTTGCGCATAGCAACACCTACGGTCGAAGCATCATTAGCACTGCAGCCCACGCCTATTAATCACCTGTTTACACACGAAGTTCAAAAAATGCATTTCACTTTGCACCATCGTCCCGCCACGGCCTAGATCCATTTGCTGTAGAATGTAAATGCTCACATATATTATCATGCGGTACACCTGCTGACGCCACGGGTGTTATAATGCATTCACTTTTACAAAGTGCTTTCCTGTGTTACACTGCTCGGACAGCGGCAGACAATTCCACGTTGGCAAACAGACTAATGGATACTTAATCACCAACAAAATTTACAATACACAGCCCCATATGGTAACTTAAACAGTGCGAAACGAATAAAATGTAACCACTGGTGGACAGAAATACAAACCGCGTGTCAGGCCGGTAGTAAACTCATTTGAATGGGGAAGAGCTGGTAAATGCATATGCAATTATACATTCGGGCCAACTGACAGTCGCGCCCAGTGTGTCCCCCCCCCACGCTCCTCTGCTTCCCGTCCACTAGCTAAAGACTCTGGTAATATCTTGTTTCTTTTGTGAGTATTTGAAGGACACCCTTTCCATTAGCTCAGCTGTAACCACCGGAAGCACAAACGCCTAGAACTCAGCCTTCAACACGCACATGGCACTACCCTGCGGTGAATTGAGAAACCGATGAAATTAAGCCGAGGCACACATCTCGCTGTGAAATCGTTTTCGCACGATGCGACTTTTGGCCGCCGCCGCCCGCCGAGCATCTCGCGACCTCCGATTCGCGTCGCGCACCCCCCCCCCCCGCGCCGGCTCATAGCATCGTTCCCGCGTCAACGTGCGGGCGTCGCAGGCAAGCCTCCGGCCGAGTCGGGCGTCATTGACCTCGCGACCTCCGGCGGGCGTCATTGACCTCGCGACCTCCGGCGAGCGGCCGCAGGCGAGCTCATTGACCTCGCGATCTGCGTGGTTGCGGTGGCGGGTGGCAGGCGGGGTCCGTGACCTTGCGACCTCCGTCTCCTGCACACGCGCTCGCTCGCTCACTCATTAGAAGGCGAAGCCTGAGCGGGCGTCCGTGACCTCACGACCTCCATCTGCTGCACATTCGCACGCTCGCTCACTCATTAGAATGCGAAGCGTGAGCGGGCGTCCGTGACCTCACGACCTCCATCTGCTGCACATTCGCGCGTCGCCGTCCTCATTAGGAAGGCAACGCGCGGCGGCGGCCAGATAAAAAGACCTCCGTGACCTCCGTCTCCTGCACACGTGCGCGCTCGCTCTCATTAGAAGGCGAAGCGCGTGCGGATGTCCTCCAGCTTCTTTCGACACCTCGCTGGATTGCGGTCGAGCTCCTCGGCGATCGACTTCTGCTTGCCGGCCTCGAGCGAGTTGAACTGTTCGCACAGGTCACCGTCGATGACGTTCTTCACGGGGAAGTAGAGAGAGAGGAAGTATTACGACCTGTGGGAAGAAAGAGAGAGGAAGTAGTAAGACCTGCGGGAAGAGAGAAAGAGGAAGTAGTAAGACCTGCGGGAAGAGAGAGAAAGAGGAAGTATTACGAACTGTGGGAAGAAAGCGAGAGGAAGTAGTACGACCTGCGTGAAGAGAAAGAGGAAGTAGTAAGACCTGCGGGAAGAGAGAGAGGAAGTAGTAAGACCTGCGGGAAGAGAGAAAGAGGAAGTAGTAAGACCTGCGGGAAGAAAGAGAGGGAGAAGTAGTACGACCTGCGGGAAGAGAGAAAGAGGAAGTAGTACGACCTGCGGGAAGAGAGAAAGAGGAAGTAGCACGACCTGCGGGAAGAGAGAGGGGAAGTAGTAAGACCTGCGGGAAGAGAGAGAGAGGAAGTAGTACGACCTGCGGGAAGAGAGAGGGGAAGTAGTAAGACCTGCGGGAAGAGAAAGAGAGGAAGTAGTAAGACCTGCGGGAAGAGAGAGAGAAAGCAGTAAGATTTGCGGGAAGAGAGAGAAAAAGAGAGGAAGTAGTAAGACCTGCGGGAAGATAGAGAGGAAGTAGTACGACCTGCGGGAAGATAGAGAGGAAGTAGTACGACCTGCGGAAAGAGAGATGGGAAGTAGTACGACCTGCGGGAAGAGAGAGGGGAAGTAGTAAGACCTGCGGGAAGAGAGAGGGGAAGATTCCTGAGCTGTGGCTCTCGCGTATTTCACATAGTGCATGCAACGCTAGACTAGGCTGATCTTTTTTATTTCTTCGAGTCTTCGATGCCAGCATCTTTTTTGTTGCATTCTACTTTTCTCACTCCATGCGACTTTTAATAAAGAGCGACTTCATGATTGAAAATGCACGACATCATGATTGAAAAGGGACATTGTCGTGGCTTAAAAGGGAGACATCGCAGTTGAAAATGCGCATTGTCGTGGTTGAAAAGGGTAGCATTGTAGTACAAAGGATTCAAAATACAGGATGCAACGGAAATTATGAAACACAAATATGCGACGGCAATTGCGGAACAGAAATGTGCGATAGCGAGCGCAACGTCGTATATAGGGGACTCGTGATCTGAGCACAAAGCGTGATGGCAATTATGGAACACCATAAATAGCCCCAGTGCCTAAGTCCTGTGTGGACTGCCAACTGTGTTAACATTATCACGCCAATCATGAAAATATGTACGTGCGCGCACGCATGCACGCACGCACGCACGCGCGCGCGCGCACGCACGCGCGCGCACGCACGCAGACACACACACATACACACACATACACACACACATGACCTCAATAAACGAACCCAGGTATACTATTACCACCCCACCCAATTTTATCATCAAATTGAAATGTTTCACAGGATTGACCAAAGGGACTCTCAAATCCACAGATTCACAAAAAATTCTAATGCCTGCAATCTCTTCTACACCTACTACACTCCCCACCCTGATACAAGTATGCAGTTGGAATAGGAAATTGGAAACTCGGGTTAGTGGATTTTTCCCCGCAAATGGATCGAAAGTTTTATTGCCCAAATTTTAATATTGGAGCGATCCAGAATTCAAGCACTGGATACAACCACGAGTGCAGCCTATATGACGTGGTGACGACGTGTATGACATGGTGGTGACGTGGTACGACATGATGGTAACGACGTGTACGTCATAGTGGTGACATGGTGGTGACGACGTGTACGTCATGATGGTAACAACGTGTATGACATGGTGATGATGTGGTACGACATGGTGGTAACGACGTGTATGACATGGTGGTGACGACGTGTATGACATGGTGGTGACGACGTGTATGACATCGTGGTGACGACGTGTACGTCATATGGTGGTAACGACATGTATGACATGGTGGTAACGACATGTATGACATGGTGGTAACGACATGTATGACATGGTGGTAACGACATGTATGACATGGTGGTGACGACGTGTATGACATGGTGGTGACGACGTGTATGACATGGTGGTGACGACGTGTATGACATGGTGGTGACGACGTGTATGACATGGTGGTGACGACGTGGTACGACATGGTAGCGGCTGCGAAACAACAGATTCAACACCGAACAATGCGCAACAAAAACCACAGCGACACCGCCGGCAGTGATTATGAAACGACGAGTTAACCACACCGAACGCGCGTAACAGAAGGAGCCACCTGTAGGACATGTGGTCGCGGCCGCACAGCGGCGGATACTCGGCCCTCATGTGCATCTCGAGGTGCTGGAAGAAGTCGTGGTCCTCGTGCGACGTGAACGGCACGAGCATGCCGATGCTGCCCGCCAGCGTCGTGTAGACAAGCGACTCCGAGCCGCCGGGAATCAGCGTCACCTGGTGGCAGAAATCAGTAAAAATTTCCATTATGTGCGGTCGAGTGCACTCGACTAACCAACGATCGAATACAATCAAATTAGTTAGTTAGTTTCTTAGTCGGTCACCGATTTCATTTAACTAATCAATGATTGACTATAATCGGTTGTAACTCATTAAATAAGTTCATTCGGTTGGTAGACTAATATATATATATCGTGTATGATGTAATACACAATCGATCGGACAGACCGCAGAATGCAAACGATCGATCGATCAGACGGACCGCTGATTGCGAATTATCGATCGGACAGACTGCCGATCGCAAACGATCGATCGGACTGACCGCCGATCCCGATCGTTCGATCGGACGAACTGTCGATCGTGAACAATCGATAGGACGGAGCGCAGATCGCGAACGATTAATCGCCAGCGAACGATCGATCGCCATCCTCCGTGCCGCCGCCGCACGATGTCGCTCCTCACCTTCTGCAGCGAGAGCACGGTCTCGCCGACGTGAAAGCTGGTGCCGAGCTCAGACTTCTGCGCGGCGCCGTTGCACCAGCCGCGGTCCCACAGCGAGCGGTTGCCCGTCGGGTCCTCGTCGACGTCGTCGTTCGCGTCCGACGGCAGCCGCACGGTGACGACGTTGCCAAACTTGTCGGCGCCGGCGATCGTGTCGTAGTCGAGCAGCGCCGCGCACGTGATCCAGCGCGGGAACGTGTCGTCGGCGAAGACGATCAGCTGGTTCTCGTCGCGCTTGTAGCGCACAAAGTGGAAGCTCTCCTGCACGTCGCCGACGACGATGCGCGTGCCGACGAGGTGGATCGTCACGATGTAGTTCGGTATGTGCTTGTTCTCGCACTTGCGCAGCAGCTTCTTCTTGCCGAGGTCGTAGATGCGCAGCAGCCGGCCGATGCCGACGAGCACGCGGCCCTGGTAGGCGACCATCGCCGACGGCACGTCCTCGACGACCGTGCGGTGCTGGAACTCGAGGCGGCCGTCCTCGGACACGCGGTACGTGCGGATGTAGCCGCTGCTGCACTGCCGCGGGCTCAGCTGCAGGTCCTTCGCCGTGCCGACGAGAACGAACTGCTCGTCGTGGCGGTTTGCGAAGCGGCACGTCGCGATGCTGAACGCCGCCTCGTTCTGCTCGAGCGCGATCTTCTGCAGCGTCTCGCCGGAGACGGGCGAGACGACGCGGATCAGCGACGCCCACATGCCGACGCCGGCCTTCGGCGAGCCGAACACGCTCTCGGGCAGCGTCTCGTTGAGGAAGGCCTGCGCCATCTCGTCGGCGAGCTCCTTCTCCTCGTCGCCGGCCGCCTCCTTCATCTCCTCGGCCATCTGCGCCTTGCGCTGCCGCTTCGTCTCGTCCGTGTACGCGTTGTGGTCGGTCTCGATGACAACGAGGCTGTTCGACTCGGCGTGCAGCACGAAGCGGCGCGGCGTGTACTGCAGCGGGTACGACAGCTGGTTGAAGACGGCGCCGAGCTTCTCGAGCGCGAGGATGCGCAGCGTGTTAGTCGAGATCGCGACGACGCCCTCGGGGCACTGCTCCGAAGCGAAGCCCGACGCGAATTCGAGCGACTCGTACGAGAGCGGCGTCAGGTGGAAGCGCGACTGGTACGTGTAGCTGAGCCACGTGCGGCTCGAGATGGCGAGCACGGCCTCGTTGCCCTGCATGCGCAGCCGGAACAGCTTGACGGGCCGCGCGCCCAAGTAGCGCGTGCGCGTGTCCGACAGGTCGCCCGTGACGGGGTCGAGCACCGTGCGCAGCAGCACGCCGTTCTGCAGGCCGATGTTGAGGAACAACTGGCCCTGCGCGCCGGCGCTCTCGTCCTCCGTCGCCTCGACGCCGCCCATCTCGACGATGCACAGCGACTCGGACGGCGCCGGCAGCGCCTGCATGCTCAGCGGCGACAGACAGTCGGACGGGTCGAGCGAGATGATGCGCACCGTGTTGTCGGCGAGGCCGACGGCAAGGAATCTCGAGCGCTGCTCGCCGCCGGGTACGCTCGCGAGCGACATGCAGATCACGTCCGACGACATCTCCTTGCGCTCCGTGTACTCGTTCAGCTGGCCCGTCGGGTCCATCTCGAAGTAGACGAGCTCGCCGCCCGTCAGCGCGATGACGACCTGCCGCTGGTTGACGGCGCACTTGCTGATCGTCTTCTTGCCCGGCGACTTCCACTCGTTGACGCGCTTGTCAGCGCGGATGTGCCGGATGCCGTCCGGGTAGACCTGTATGAGCGCATCGTCGCCGAGCTGCGAGCAGGACAGCGTCGGCGTCGTGCCGAGGAAGCCCGAGTCGGTCACCTCCTCGACGGTCTCGCCGATCGAGAGCACGAGCGTCGCGTTGACGAACGAGACGATGATGTAGGCATCGTACTCGTCGTCGACGTTCTTGCGCACCGTCCAGACGGCGTTCGGGTTGCCCGGCAGCTCCGAGACGGCCATCTCGGTGACCTCGAGGCCGTGGCGCAGCACGCGGAGCGACGAGCGCGCGCCCTGCCCGCACGCGACGTACAGCTGCGGCGTGTCCTCGTTTGCGAGGTCCATGATCTGGCAGCTCATGATCGGCGAGAGGCTGTCGAGCTCGTCGACGAGCACGAGGTTGCGCAGCGGCCGCGGCGCGAAGAAGAACGTGTCGCCCTCCTCAATCGGCATCGCGCTCGAGAACTCCGGCTCGTCGTCGTTGTCGCCGAGCGACGTGATCTGGTAGAGGTAGTGGTTGCCGAACTCGGCCGCGACGAAGAGGAAGCCGGTGCGCAGCACGCTCATCGACGTCGCGACGGGCACCGTGTCGAAGAACTTGATGCGGATCTCCGTCACCATGTCCTCGTCCGTCTCGAGCGTGATCTTGAAGACGTCGCCCTGCTCGGTCTGCGCGAGGAAGAAGAACATCGACTTCGTCTTGTGCGTCGCCGAGTTGACGAAGATCATGCCGCGCTCGGGGTCGTCGAGGTCGTTGCGTCGGCGCGGGATCGGCATGCGGATGTCCGGCTGGTCGCCGAGGTTCTTGTAGGTGACGTAGTTCTCCGAGCAGATGAGCACGCCGCTCGGGCCGTCGTTGCCGCCGGGCACCGAGATGAGGAAGTTGCCGTGCTCCTCGAGCGGCTCGCTGTACTTGCGCACGACGTGGTTCAGCCCGAGATCGAGCTCGTAGTACGTGAGCGTCTGCTGCGTCGCGGCCGCCGCCTCGCCCGTGTGGTCGTGGTCGGCGTCCTCGTAGTCGATCTCGAGGCACGCGAACATCGGGTTCTCGAAGCCGACGTCGACGCCGACAATGTGGTAGACGAGCGTGCTCGACTTGTGCGCCTCGAGCGGCGACGAGATGGTGAGCCGCGCCTGTGCGTCGCGATTCAGGATGTAGACGAGCTTCTGCTTCTCAACGGCGCCGATCATGACGGCGCGGCCCTTCGGGTCGATCGCGAGGTACTGGCCGGGCACGATGCGCCGGCAGCCGCTCTTGCCGAACGTCTCCTGGTGCACCTTATCGAAGACGTTCTTCTGCGGCTGGTACTCGAGGATGACGATGCGGCCCGAGTCGGAGCCGACGACGATGTAGTCCTTGTTGCCGCCGGTGAGCCGGAACGCCATGAGCGCGCGCACGATGCCGAACACCTCGATGCTGAGCAGCGTGTGGATCTTGCCCGTGTTCGCGTCGGGCCGCATCAGCTCGAGGATCTTGCCGCGCGAGACGACGATCTCCTGCTGCTTGCTGCCGGAAAAGTTGCCGTGCACGGCGTGCGTGATGCCCGTCGCATGCTGCAGGGTCAGGTTGTACAGGAACATCTTCGCTGGGAGTCAGTGGCTGCACCAAAATTCTGCAACACACGATTCGGCGACGATGACGCGATTGTCTACGAGTGTTACGTCGCTTACCAACGTAGCTCTACAAGCACGACCTCAGAATCAGTTGTTAGGCACGAAGGCACTACTTCCAGGGCTATACTGATAGAGCTATCATCGCTGTATTTATAGCCATGCTAGTTTATACATTAGTGCCATTTCCATGAAACGGAACAAGTAATAAAGTAAAATGTTATGTTTGATCACATATATTAATAAAAGATGGGAGTTATTTCCATGGCCGCCGTTTCCGCTACTAAATAATCACTGATTAGACCCTAACCCTAGAACTAGTGTTGTCAATCGGTTGAAATTTCGTAATCGATCATCGGTTGGACCCAAGTAACCGATGATCGATTACAATCGGTTACTCGGGGTGTTGAACTTGAATGCCTGCGTGTGCGTAACGTCGTGTGCATACATGTATACATGTACTTGTTTAGCCAGCGTATAAAATCCCTAGTGTGTCCTAGGCTTTAGCCCCTCAACAGGAAGTAACTACGGCGAATGTCAGGTGATTCCCGAACTAAAATAGCGATGATATCTCTGATTCTCATCACTTTTCCAAGTTTTCTTGTTCAAGTTTTACATAAATTTATTTCGAATTTTTTTTTTCTCTGATGAAATAGATTAAATGGATTTTGATAACCAAGCGCTTGGTTCGAGCCACTGTTCAACCGATGATCGAGTATAATCGATGATCGTGACATCACTAGGCGCTTGGTTCGAGCCACTGTTCAACCGATGATCGAGTATAATCGATGATCGTGACATCACTACCTAGAACCCTTTTGGCACGAGTCTAATGCCGATTTGAAGTCTATAAATTATCACCTATAATTTCAACTGCCACTATTTTTCTTACTACCCAGAAGTAAGGGGCTCTGTGATTGGTCGGGGACTTCAGTAGCGGACACGTCGGCCGTGAAAACAACCACTACGTTAATAAAAAACACTACAAACATTGCAGTACGACGAAGTCCTCATTACTGCTTGTAGGTGTTTTGTCAATGAACACTGGTGAATACAAGTGATAAAACTATTTTGTATCTTAAACACATGCGACCAGTTAATATTGAATTGTCTTCTCCATTGTCAGTAGCCCGACGAGGATGTGCGACTGATTTTCCACATGACAGACATGCTTCCATACAAAAAAAATAACACCTATGCAGATCTAGATGAATAACTGCATATATCTCAAATAAAACTATACTAGTACCATATTTGACTTGCCTTGTTTGAAATATGAACGTTAACTAGCAGTTGTCCTGCTTCTAAACTAGAATGTATCTCTTAATTCACGGTATAATCTGCTAATTCTCGTGAAAACCCGAAACGGAAAGGACTCGCTAGAAAATAGTACATTTAATAATTATAGCTTTGATAGGAGGATTAGACCTACGCCATGCGATACAGGCGGCGCCACTATACGATTTTTGTTGGATAGCTCGGCGGTGGATCGCTCTAATCGATCGCGCAGCATACAACATTGTGCTCTAATTAATTCCACTTTTTATTGTATTAGGTCAAAGTTTTTCGTCACAGTATCCTTTTCTTTAACATATGCAAATATTTACATCTCCGTTTCAATCACCAGACGAGAATATCTGAATCGTTGATGCGACGTTGCTTGCTTGTTTTGTTGTTGTTGTTGTTGTTGTTGTTGTTGTTGTTGTTGTTGTTGTTGGTGGTGGTGTTGTTGTTGTTGTTGTTGTTGGTGGTGGTGGTGGTGTTATTATTGTTGCTGTTGATGATGATAAAAAAAGAAAGAAAAAGACGACGACGAAGAAAAAGAATAAGATGAAGAAGAAGAAGAAGAAGAAGAAGAAGAAGAAGAAGAAGAAGAAGAAGAAGAAGAAGAAGAAGAAGAAGATGATGATGATGTTTCGCTGTGTTCCACATGATGTTGGTATGCGGCAAATACCAATGCTGGTTATTCTATTGTCTTGAGATTAGGTTAAACTATTTTGTAAATCGCAAAACAGATTAACTAAAAGTGCCCTAATTAAGTAACGTAAAATGATAATGGGCTCATTTGGCTTGGGAAAATCTTCACAAACGTTTCGAACCCATCAATGCCTAATTGCGTGCTCGTGCATTTGTCCGATGGGAAAATATGATAACGAACTATTTCTGCATCGCATCTAATTGCTAAAATGTCACGAGCTTCTAAAAAGTACATTTAACGTAAAATATTAAAGTAGGCCTTGAAAAGCGTTACCGTATGTGTGTGTGTGTTAGGGTACGTGCGTGCGGGCGGGCGGGCGTGTGTTTATGGTGTATGTAGGTTATCGTGATCTTCGCACAAGTATGTAACGGGTTCGTGTGAAACAATGACAGAAATGTTGCGCATACACGTGATAATGAAGAGATCTAACGTATGCATTTGGCTTGGCTTCAAACACCATCGTATACATGCTATAATTAATTTAATTTCGCAGTCACAGCGCTGGTATTATACGCGTGCGTTTGTAAGTGTGTGCGTATAACAAAATGTGTTAACAGTTTAACAAAACATTAATTAATGCATGGCGCTGTAGTTTATTTCTTGAAATTAGCTTTGCCTTGAATTGCGGGACTAAATAGCGGATTCTTAGCCAACACGAACCTGACTGCTTTTACATCGAAAACATTAACGGCTAAGCACAACCAATCACTCACCAACTTGCAATCTGGCAATAACACACGCTCAACCGGCTTATATACCGCATTTCCTGCTAACAGACAGTAAGATGGCAAGGAAGCTAACACCAGGCAATTAACCAGTCTCGTCGTCGTGGTCCAGTCTGCTTGCAATTATTATCAAGGCATTCACAATAGTTAACAGTGCCATGTCTACTACCAATGCTTGCCGCGCGCACACGCTTACGCACACTTAGACAGACATATACGTGCTCACGCGCACAGGCACAGGTACTCCTAAATGTCAATTGTCAAAGGTCAAATGTCATATGGCAAATGTCAAGGCTGCTTACCTCTTACCCCTACCCCTATCCCTACCGCTAACCCTGACCCTAACCTTGACCCTAGCCCATACCCCCGTCACACCATGGCCCCGATCTCACTACGCTCGTACTACGCTCTAAGAGCGTGGTGGTTCAAACGTGTAGAACGCAATATGAACGTCTATGGACGTACTGCGATCGCGATCGAGCGCGGTGCAGTCACCATGAGCGTGGAGAGCGTGGCCAAATTTTGAGCATGTTCAAAACAATCGTGGTGCGAGCGTGGCGGAAAGACAGCGCAGTGCGGGCGTATTAGAGACGTGGAAGGCGTAGTACTAAGTACCCACGTAACTCGAGCGTAGTACGAACTTAATGATCGTATCGCAAGCGTGTCGGGTGCGTGAAAATTGTCGCCCCGTACTCAGCACGATGTCAATACGTTTTCATCACGCTGTTACTACGTTCATGGAGATGTCTCTGCGACCTGACCACCCTCTCGCTATGCCCATGGTGCGTCTCTAGTAAGCTCGACCCGTTCGTACTACGATTGTACTACGCCCAACACGCTCAGACCACGCCGTTGTGGCGTTCGCATTACGTGTTAGTTGCGTCAATACCACGCCCAGATCACGTCCTGCGAACTTGGGGTATAAATTGGGGCGCTACCCTAGCTACCCCACCAGTTCAGTGTCTACTATGGATGAGGCAACACTACTCCATGCCATGTTTCTCGTAGAAGGACATCTCGAATTACTTGATTGCCAAGCCCTCATCATGCTGAGGAGGATGAGGAGGAGAAATAGAAGACAACGAAGATCTTGCTGGGTGCGTCCGTGGCTTTCGGTAGAAAGACGACTTCTCTATGGTCTTACTATATAACTATATACTCTATACTATATTGTCTAAATAGTATA